TTTTTTTTTTTTTTTTTTTCCCCACTTTGAACACCGTGGACAGTCGTGGATTGACGTCTACGGTGGATTCGTTTCTTCCATGAAATCGCCATTATCCTCGTTCGAGTCGCCACCGTTTTCTCCATCGTCCTCGATCACCCAAGACTGACAGTCCCTTGTTTCGTTTTCTATTTTTCACGTGTTCCGGCGTTTGCAGCGTGACACACACGCGTACGATATTTATGCATACATACACACACATACACACACACACAGACACACGTGCAGATCGCACGTATTCATCGTCGTCAAGCAAGCAAAAGAGAAAAGGAAAGAGGTTAGCGTGTGTCTATCATTCGACGAACCTCGCGATTAAAAAAAAAAAAAAAAAAAAGAATAAAAAAAATACAAAACGAACATTATAGAACGCGAAACAGTACCAAATATATACATATATCTATCTATTGTATATTTCAATACTCCGCGGAGTTCCCTAAGACTCCGTTCTAAGTGTAAGTCGATTCAGCAAGCATTGAGACGATTTCGAGGAAGTACGGAGCTGAGACGAAGCTGTGTGCAGTAGGCTGACCAATTCGGCTAAAAACGACTCGAAACTGACGTCAACGATGCGTCAGAGTCGAGCGTACGTACTGTATCATCGATTGAACAACGCCGTAGCACCACACGTACGGAGCTCCGTTCCGAGAAGGGGCTGGCCTAACCACTTCGTACGTAGCTGCCGATTCGTAGTGATAGATAAAAATCGAGGAGCCGAGAAATTTCGGTCGTTCTTGGGGAAGCTCGATGCCAAGGGCGCGATGACAACGCGTCGATCGATTCGCAGCTAAACCAAAGATTTGCACGTTCGTGTGCGCGATATTAACCGAATACGCGATATTAAACCTCGATATTAAGGCGAAAGGAGCAACTGTGTTTGTGGTGACACAAATGTCGCACCAAACATGGTGATAGACGAGTGAAACACGAGAAACTGCCAAAAAGCACACCACCATTGACACGTGGCTATACGCACACTTTGTATTTATCACGTTTAAAAAATAGTAGATAGAGCCTTTGTTCGTACATATAGATAATATAAATATATATAAATGCAGGATCTTTAAGCTCGTCGAACGAGGTCCGTGACGCAGCCGTAATATCGACATTCGACGTTCGTGAACTGTTGTAGCGCAGCTGTTATAGAATCGTAGGGGATCGAAGTATAGAGAGGATGCTTCCTCGATCCTGCATGCGTGTCGACAAGTTCGAAGAAACTCGCGAGAGACGATCGACAGAGAGTCGATCGCAGAGGGGTTATTCGTGTGTTGGCTCTGGTGGCTGGTGACGCTACCGGATCTCTGGAAAGAGCGTGTTGTTCGATTAACGATGAAACGAGAACGCAAGTCGAATATGAAGATTGGCCAAATGTGAAGGAAATAGGGGCAAAAAAGAAAAGAAAGAAGAAAATGGACAAATGAATGATGCGATTGATGAAAGAGAGGAGAAAAGAAAAGAACGATATCGCGCGTATATTTCGACATGGCACTATTATTTGATATTGAGCAAACGAATTTTGTAGCGAAAAATAGCCGACGAAAACGTAGAGTGCAATATTAGCGCGGGAGAATTTAAACGCTGTATAGTTGGTAGTCTTATTATATCGATTCGTAGAGTGTATTTCGACCAAAACTTTTGACGTTTGTCGGCGAGAGACGTACGTACTACGTGTTTCGAATATTTTGACGAAGTATCTCTTTGGCGAGAAAGCGCACGTAAAATATGTATGCCCTTTCGTAGATTTGTACTTTCGTAAGGTTTTCCTTGCTTTCAATTTTTTTTTTTTTTTTTTTTTTTTTTTTAAGAAACAGTGCGTAGTAATTGACGATAACAATACGGATGATTATTTTTAATAATCGTCTTTTTACAGGTTAGCGTTTTGAACATCTTACACAGAATTTCGTTCTTATACTTGTCGTAGGAGACGTTTCTCATTTTTCGTAGTCGTGTCGACATAGTC